AAGGAGGCGGAAGTGCTTTTGGATTCTATCAAGACTGGAAGTGATGACTGGGAAGCTCCTGTCCAAATATGACAGCAGTACTTCATTTTAGGCTTAATCTGGCTCTTGTAAAGGTAGAAGGTAACAAGAGGAATAGAAAGGTATAGGGAATTGACGATCAGCAATGTTCTACTTAAGGCCTGAATTTAGTTTGAGTATGTTAAGGCACGACGCCTCCTTGATTGGTGCTAGTTCAGGGTCCGATCTGCGATTCAGACGATCAAGTGGCAGCAAGTTTTCTAAATAACCATAAAGTCTTCTGATTGTTGTCGAATTCAACAATTCTGTTGTCTAAGGCTGCACATTTTCTTCAGATTTCCAAACATTCCAGTTTTTTACAATGATCTTTGGATCTGGATCAAATGCTTTTCATAACGATATTTGAAGATTCCATTTTTATATTCCACAATATTTTTTCATTTTCAGACGACTTCCCAGTATTTATCCAACTGGCTACTCACTTTTTTTCTCAGTTTCAATACTCCGTCTATTTATACAAATTGTTATATTTTCTGAATATTTCAAACTGAAGACAATTTCGATGTGATCACTGTCCCATCCGACCTATACTCTCGTATTATCTGACCTTGAAGCAGCCGTGATAATAATTTTGCTTCTTTGCTTATCATTAATATATATTAATATACACCGTAGGCAAAGTAGATTAATGGATGGCGGCTCGGATTGAGAAATCGGAGAGCTGAGTTCGAATACCAGTCGAGTTCATTATATTCATTTACATGTTAATACCTTTGGGAAAAGTATGAAGAATCCAATTCTTCTCCCCCACCTAGATATGACTAAATAGTAGGTCATACTGGGTTCTATGGTCCTGGGTGTGGATGTAATTCTGGTGAAGCACATACTATGATCCCGACTATGGTCGAATATACACCGTGACTGTAACTTCCAGGTTTAAATGGAAGACAGACCCGGGAAAATTCGGACGTTATAGCACACCCTAATCTATGTATCTTATTTGTTTGTTATGCTTTAATCTGATATCGATTTGTTTGAAATTCAAAGTTCCCTTTTTCCCCAAAACAGCTTTATGCCAAATGTCTGAATGGTCGAATCCAATACATTTGCAAAGTTCTTTTTCTCTGTGTAGTACTTATATGGTACTGTAGACCCCCGTTCGCTTTGGACATTCATATAATCAAGTTGGTATCTATGTTAATTATTTACTCCTGTCATAATAGTATATCTGATCGGATCGATAACGTCCAATAGCCAGCTGGTCTTAAAAAAATGACTTACAATCTGTTGTTAAATGGGGCAAGGAATGGCTTGTTAATTTTAATGCTTCAAAGATTGCTCTCTTTTAATCATCTGAAAGAATCGTTTTTACCTTCCATCAGCATGGCTTATACTAACCTCCAGCTGACATGAAGTGGAAAGATTATATTGCTAATTGCTAATTTTGCTGCTAGGAAAGTTAGTTCACTATGTTGTGCTAGACAATTTTCCTTGTCAGAATCTATCTTACATATTTATAAGACTACCATTCGTCCTTGCTTTGAATATTGCTGCCATATCTAGTCTGGTGTCCCGCATATATATTTAGAGATTCTTGATATACTCCAAAGAAGGATCTGCAGTGTTATTGGTCCTGTCCTGGCATCTCGGTTTCTGTCCCTTTCCCACTAACATAATGTAGCTTCCCTGTGTCTTTTCTATAATTACTTTCATGGTAATTGTTCTGATGAACTTTCCTCTATGGCATCTAGACTTTTTGACTTTAAGAACAATACAACATTGGCAGCAAAGTCTCATCATTTTGCAGTTGAAATGTAAGTTCTATGCTAAAAATGTCTTCTGTTCGTTAGTTTGTCGTGACAAGAAGTAGTAAAAGATGTTCCAGTTGTCGCTTATCTACTCCCAGTCAGTGTTAGGTGAACTAATCTATGAATAAAGAACTGTTTATTTCAATCAAGAAACTTCCTATTTTTATCACCAAGGCGATATCTCGAGACGTATTTACAGCTTCTTTTTCTCCCAGTGCGGTATCCTGCCTTTCGTTTCGTTGTTGAACGTATATCGATCCATTCACAATTTCCTTCATATCCATGCAAACAAGAATCAAACCAGAGCGTGGGGCAGAAGCTTATCAGTCGATGAAAAACTTCCCAAGGGAGCCGATTGCATATTCATACTTGCTGCTATACTATAAGTTATTATTACTAACATCCTTTATTTTTCTTGCTTTTGACGGGCTCTTCAGCCTAACGAAAAAAAATGCTTGTTGATTATGTAATTGTCAAAAAGAATGGGGTTTAAATTTTGTCTACTACTTTCATAGTTAACAATTTGTATGCAAGAGGTATTACGGGACACTTCACGTCGAGTTCTTTGGTTTGGCCTCTGACAAAATCATTTAGATGAAGTGACGGCGATTTTATCAACGCTTCACTAAACAATTCTGCAAGAAGCAAGTAGTCTCTTGCAGTCATTCTGTGTCCTTGTTTCACGGTGTATTAGACGAAATCTTATAACTCAATGATTTATTTTCCAAGAGATAGGCAGGACGTGGACATCATCTAAGAAGCTGCAGTTGTTTACAAACATCAGCAAACAAGAAACACAGATTCGCTGTTTACCTATTTTACAAGTTCGTTACATTTTATTTGTTTGTCAACTTGTTTTCTTACTTTCTCTCTCTTTATCTAAATTATCTATGCGCACACATGCACACATCACACACACACATACACACGCACACATAACACACTAAAAGTAACCGACTACCGAAAGAGTATAATTAAAATGACAACATGGTAAAAAAAAGAGCCCAATGCCGCAATAGCAGAGCATATTATATTAATACAAATCTTCTATAGTCGATCAGCCCTACTTAGGGAGATTATGATTAACACACACGCAAAACACGCACACACACACATATATATATATATATATATATATATATATATATATATATATATATATATATACAGTTCGCAAAGTGTGTATAGATTTTTTCTTGGACTCTATATATATAATAATAATAATACCAAATCCGCTACCCAGTATTTCATGTAAAGACAATCATCAAGCGGAATCATGATATTATATTTTAAGCTCCAGCTTTAATTCTTACTAGTTTATATATATATATATATATATATATATATGTGTGTGTGTGTGTGTGTGTGTGTGTGTGTGTGTGTGTGTGTGTGTGCTTGAGTGTGCTTGAGTGTGTGTGTGTGTGTGCTTGAGTGTGCGTGTGTGTGTGTATGTTTAGGATGTATAATAATATTCGAAAGGAAAGTCGAGATGATGAGACAAAGTGAAAATGCTTTAAACGACGCGTTTCGCCAAACGTGTATCGGGTTCGCCTTCTTCAGGTCAGAAGAAAAGGCAAAACTGTGTGAGGAAAATGCGTTGGGATTTTTGAGGATAGAAAATTTTCATTTTGCCATTCAATTATCTACCATTTATCTTATATATAGAATTTATGCATCACATTTTCCTATAAGTGTGTCTTTCTATCTGTCTCTCATAGTCCACATTATGAGGAGTCCCGTCTATCTATTCTGTTCATATTTATCTGTTCGTATCGGTGTATCATCGTTTATGCTGCTAACGGTCGGAGATTTGAAATGAACGTGGTTTCATATGCTATGATTAGGGAATACATTCTGTGGCCTCTTTACATCAAATGACAGCAACTCTATCTGTGAAACTTGCTTTAATCACTGTGTACACCTTTCAAAATACCTTTGAATGGTAAGTCACGTGATTTTATGTAGTGTGTGTTGCTCCCTTGGTCACGACAGAAAAGTTTTTGCATTATTTATCTAACTCAGTGTATCTATCAAAGTACTGAATAGTCCGCGGAATTATTTTCCTAATAATTCCTATACGTTTGGTGCTTTTTGTCTCTTTTTCACACAAGCTTTGTACGTCAACAGACAAAAATAAAATATCGATTCAAATAAACAAACAAGAATCCGTTTCTTATAATCTAAAGTCAAAATATCGTCTCATTTACAACTAGTTTGACTTTTTGGCGTCGATTCCAGGCTAATTACTAATTACATTCAAACCCACGGTCTTTTTGTGCGTGTGTAAAACAAATCTCGTTTCTCTTGGGTGCCCTTAAAAACAAATCCATTAGCAACAATCAGGACCTATCCGAACAACGGTTCACTTCGAGGCTGGCGAAATTGTAAACTGAGATCAATAGTTATTAAACAGAAAATGAGGTGAGCATTTCTCAAAGGTAATGGTAAGGTCTTGCATGTCATTAAAATTCGTCATGACGACGACGGAAATGCATTTATCTTCTTGCCTTTCTCTATCTTCTGTATTCGTCAGGCAGAAAGATACACTGATATTTACAAATACATATTTGTGTAATTATCATTGTTATCGATTTCGTAAGTGTCTAATCATTCAAAAGTTCAAAAGGTTTACTGACGTATGTAGAAGCTCTTTTAGATTCGCCCCCCTTTAAACTTTCAAACTTACAGTGTATGTTTGTAATGTATGTTGCGCATTGTGTATGTATGTATGACGGTCATGTGGTGTATGTGTGCATGTATGCAAAAAAGTGTAAGTAAAGAGATAAGAACAGTCAGAAATATATACTCATAACTTTTAAGTATTTTTTTCCACAATGTCCTGTCCTTTGACTTTTAGTAAATGTTGTTTTTGTTGCTATGTCTCCCAATCCCTAATTCGGTCAAACATTTATGCAAAAGCTCATTAAGTAGGTTATGCGTTCATTTCCTCTTGTCTCCAATACGTCTTGTCAGTGTCAAATTACCCAAGCCCTCTTTCCTCGTCGTTATGTACCCTAGACATTTCAACTGTCTCTTTCGGATTCTTTGTTTAAGCGACCTTTTTGTTTCCATTTTCTCTAAAATTTCGTTGTTGTTCAACTCTTCAGTCCGTGATATTCTCAGAATCACAAATCAGCTACTGGAATTTCTCATTATGATAGATACTAATTTTACTTTAGCAGTGGGCGCTTAATGAGGATCAGGCTAACTACAGCAATTGACAGAGAAAGAAAAAGATAAACAGAGAGAGAGAAAGAAAAAGATAAACAGAGAGAGAGAGGGGGGGGAACTGATATCGGTAGATATGAACAGAAGGACAGATAGATTTTAGTAGATTTATAGATATGCAAGATTCCGGAGAGCAAAATTGTCTCGATCGACACAGTGAACCGATTTTCTTATCAACTTATCTATAGTATCTATATAGATAGACAGATAAATAGATATAAATATACTAAGATAGCTAGATAGATCGTTATGAAGAAACTGGGCTAGAAATACATGAAGAGAGATATGAGAAAATAAAACGGAAATAACTAATTAAGGTCAGATTGATCAGATCATCAGGTATAGTGAGTCGGGGCGGGGGAGAGAAGGACAAAGGATAAATGCGATTATTTATTTGCTGTCCCATAACGTCAAGTATAATACATGTCTCGGGTATTGTTACATGTGCATCGAGATAAACATTGTTCTGCCCAACGGGCTTTGTTGCTGGTGACCATCCCCTGTTGTTAGTACAACCGATCAGCCGTATCTTCCTTAAAGTTGAGATATGACGGATCCTAGCCAAAAGCTATAAACTGACAATAATATCCGGTGTTGCACGGACCCAAGTTTCTTTTACTTCGCTCCCAAGTCGTTTCTTCGGGAGGTTTGCCTAAATGGTATTAGTGAAATTTTCGTAATTAATAAAGCAATTCAGTAGGTATAAATAGGTGTGTAGTCTTTTAATTCGTACGTAGTGCAATAGTAAATGCGAATGATCATGATTTCGAATCTCTGCTGAAGTATTTCCAGTTATAAAATGTTATGGAATTTTTTTTAAAGCAATTCACCCCAAGCAAGGCGGGAGTGCCACTAGCATGCAGGGGGTCACAGAGGATTGAAAACAGGAGTAAAGAGGCGTGTTTGAGGAAAGGATACAGAGAAGGACGGGGAACAGGCTCAGGGTGTCAGATGTTGATTGACATTACACTTGAATATTTAAAGATTATAGTCATCGGGGAGGCAAGTAAGAGGAAGGGAGTTCCACAGATGGGAAGTGCGAGAGAAGAAACTGTTTGAGAAGAAAAGACGGTTGCATTTAACCATTTTGACAGTGAAACGGTGGGACCGAAATGCCAGCCTGGTAGCTCGTTTAAATGCAGTCCGAGAACCAGCGAAATTAGCTCGTCGAAACAGTTGCCGTAAAAAAAAAAGTTGTAGAAAAGACAGAGGGAAGCCACAACACGTCTGAGGGAAAGCGATTGTTGACTGAATGTCAGATCAGAATGCACCGGTAATGTCAGATCAGAATGCACCGGTAATGTCAGACCAGAATGCACCGGTAATGTCAGACCAGAATGCACCGGTAATGTCAGAAGATCAGAATGCACCGGTAAGAATTCACCGGATGTCAGACCAGAATGCACCGGTAATCAGATCAGAATGCACCGGTAATGAATGCACCGGTAATGTCAGACCAGAATGCACCGGTAATGTCAGATCAGAATGCACCGGTAATGTCAGATCAGAATGCACCGGTAATGTCAGATCAGAATGCACCGGTAATGTCAGATCAGAATGCACCGGTAATGTCAGATCAGAATGCACCGGTAATGTCAGACCAGAATGCACCAGTCAGATGAATGCCGGACCAGAATGTCAGATCAGAATGCACCGGTAATGTCAGATCAGAATGCAGAACCGGTATGTCAGATCAGAATCAGAATGCACAGAATGGTAATGTCAGATCAGAATGCACCGGTAATGTCAGATCAGAATGCACCGGTAATGTCAGATCAGAATGCACCGGTATGTCAGATCAGAATGCAGAATGCACCGGTAATGTCAGATCAGAATGCACCCGGATAATGTCAGATCAGAATGCATCGGTAATGTCAGATCAGAATGCACCGGTAATGTCAGACCAGAATGCACCGGTAATGTCAGACCAGAATGCACCGGTAATGTCAGACCAGAATGCAATGTCAGACCAGAAATGTCAGATCAGAATGCACCGGTAATGTCAGAATCAGAATGCAGATCAGAACCGGTAATGTCAGACCAGAATGCACCGGTAATGTCCAGAATGTAATGTCAGACCAGAATGCACCGGTAATGTCAGATCAGAATGCACCGGTAATGTCAGATCAGAATGCACCGGTAATGTCAGACCAGAATGCACCGGTAATGTCAGATCAGAATGCACCGGTAATGTGCAAATGTAAACAAACTGCTGTATTTCTTACGCTTTATTTAATAAAGCGTAAAAATTCAATTTTATATTTAAATAATATTTTATGCTCAACAAACCTTTCATCCGTGCTTAACAATAAACTGTTTGCTTTTTTAATTAGTAAACAAGATAAATCTGGTGACTTCTTTTATTATTGCTTATGAACAAAACTCATAAATATAAAATTTCAAAAATGAAAATCTTCATTTACTAGAAAACTACACCAACATTGCTTATTTCTCTTTACTCCCAAGCTGTGATCTAAATGCTAAGGTCGTAACCACTTTCAAACCAAGAAATCGATTTATTTGTATAACTAAGCAATTTAATTACAAAAGCCATCAACAAAAGAATCGTTTATTTATAAATGGAAATGAGTAACGGTTAAAAAAAAAATTGATTTTATTTAAGGCTGAATCTGGAAAAAAGCAAGACAAGATAATATAAAACACACTTATTTGAGGTTCGAGTTTTGATTAATATTTGCACACTCAAATGTATGAATTTTGGGGACTTATAAACCTAATGTCCTATTAAACAATTTTTTACCAGTGTTATTATTGCAATTTTTCTGTTAGTGTTAATATATATTTTTACCAGAGCTTATATTGCAATTTTTTGTTATTCATTGCTTTTCTCTAGCACTCCTTATTACTGGGTCCCATATTGTATACATATATATGCTTAGTCGGCTCAGGAGCTTTTTGTAGCCTAGCATATGTGCTAATTCCTTAAGTTTTCGTATTTTCCAGTGATGTTCTCTATTATTTCAACTTCATCCCACAGGGGGCGGTGGTCTCACTTTTCGTCTGATTTTTTTTATTTCCCCTCGTGTTACCGCCTTACGATGTTCTTGCTGTCTTACCATAAGGGGGCGCGGCCTGTTTCCCTTTTATATTTCTTACTACAACTGCATGGGATGGCACAGTCCTTATGATCTCCTCTATGGTGTGAGCGGGGGTCTTATTCAGAAGAGGAGTCTGCGAAGTGTTGAAATACTTTTGATGTTATATGGACCACAGGGTACTGTTTATACTGACCATTTCTTGTTCATATGTCTCTGGGTTGCCACATGACTTTTTGCAAACGATCCCTTTCCTTACACTGTATGGGTGGTGGGATTTGAAGTTGAGATATTGTCCAGTGAATGTTGGCTTGCGGTATACGGATGTTTTGAGCCCATGCCCTGTTCGAGATATTAGTACATCCAGGAAGGCGAGTTTTTTTTTTTGTTTTCTCTCTCTATTGGGAAGAGGCATGGCACGTGAAACTAGAACAATATGGCAATAAAGATGAGGGTAACAGTCTGAATAATGTAAATAATGTAAATAATCATAATACCTCATTTCAGAGATATAGACAATTAGCAATTTTATATATTTAATTACTTTTCAGGGTCTGGAGAGAATACGTAGACAAAAGCTGTGAGTACTTCAAGCTCATTGCTGCTAGCAGAAGATAAGATGCCACGAAGATCTAAATAAATTTAAAATATTTCGGTGTTACTTACGTTCAGACTAATATCCTCATCGTTGTTGTTGCCACAATATTTCGGCTGTTGTGTCCTCCAGCCTTCTTCAGGAGTCTGTTGATTGGAATAACCTTCAGGAAATTTCGAAGTGAATCCATTATTCAATCAACAGGGATAGATTATTCCCGTTCCGCTGTCCATTTTTTTTTTTAGTCCTACTCATTTCCTGCTTGCTTTGTTTCCACTAAGTGTAAGTCTGTGTGTCGAGAAATTTTCGGAGGACGAATATTTTCTGTGAAAATTTCTCGGACATTCAGGCCGGTAAATGTTGTTTAATACTGTTTATTAGAAACAGAGCATTTACTTAAATATTTGTATCTATAAAAAGAATTTATAAACATAAAAATGTCTTAAATAATAGTCGGACTTTCTCCATTTCATAATACAGTATAATGCAAATAGTTTAAAGTAGATTATAGAAAATGTGACACTGAAATCCAAAGGCACATTGGAATAGCAAAAGATGCCCACCAAGATGTCCACTAAAAGCTATACAAAGTTTTAAGAAACAGGAAAATTCCGTTAGGAACAAAGAAAAGAGTGCTCACCTGCTATTTAATATCAATTCTTTTATATGGTAGGGCATGCTGGACATGCTAATCTTCTCTTCACTCCACAGGTGAAGAGAAGATTAGAGGCAACAGAAATATGTTTCTACAGAAGGATGCTGAGAATAATATGGGCTGTGCATGTCAGCAATGAGGAAGTGTTAAGAAATATCGAAACAAAAAGGAGAGTTATGCATAAAATCAGTAACAGACAGTTGAATTTTCTAGAACTCAATGAGAAAAGAAGACCTGGCAAAAATTGACACTCACAGGACAAAATATTGAAAGCAAAAAAGAGCGAGAGGAAAACAGCGAATAATCTACCAAACGAACTTGTGTAAAAGTCTGGCAGAACAAGAAGTGGGAGAGTAGTAAAAGGAGAAACAATACTAAGAAATACGAAAGAGAGGAAATTGTAGAGAGTCATGATCACCCACGCCCTAAAGAAGTAGATAATAAAATACTGTTATTGTTTATGCAATTGATTTATTTCTTGTTTCGAAGAGAGATGAAAGAAGCACTAAGAAAAAATGTCGAGAATTTATATATCTATAAAAATGTCTTGAATCGTCTTAGGTTGTACAAAGGAGGCAATTTTTACGGTTTTTTGGAAATACTTACAATCACATTCTGAAGTTAAAGGTTACTTTTTTATTGGCTTGCAAAGGTGACTGGAAACTATCGTCATTTATAGAAAAATAAGAATAGTCTAAGGAAATAGCTGAACTGAGGCACACAAATGAATGGACATTCAGACGGGGAAGTCTTTTCAGCTATTCCGTGAAAAGACATCGTTTCTTTTTTTCTTTTTTGCTTTTGTCCATTTTAACATCCAATTAACTTTGTAAAATTCCGTATGACTTATTGAAAATATAAAAATAAAAACACTTCTCTGGAGAATGCACAAGTCAGATTTTGACACGTCATTTAAATAGATTAATTAGACTGAAGCTAAATGCAGCCCCTAAGGTAAAACGGGGTAACTCAAGCAACTAAAATGGATGTTGTCAATTGTCAAATGATTTGATTTGTTTCACTTTGACCATATCCATTCGTTTAATAGCCACCAACATTTGAACACACACACATATATATATTTATATATACTCGACTCTCCCGTCGAATTCGACGTATGAGGGTCAAAGCAGATCCTAGGAAACCGACAGCCTGACAACAGCACATGACATTTTGATTATAGTGGTGAAGGTTTCGTGCAGGACCATCCACATTTTTCGAAGGGCCGAATACAGAGATCTGGTGCACTGCGTGCCACATGGCCCCCAAACGACCCTTCGCAGGTTTTCTATTCAGAGTTGTCCTTCTTCTAGACCTGTTGCCATCCAAGGCTATAGAACCCAGTCTGTCCTGCTATTTTACCCATAGAAGAAGAGGATTCACACCATTCCAAAGGGTATTAATGTAACTGGATTTGAGTGGAATTCGAACTCGGCTCTCCGATTCCTCAATCCAAGCCGCTATCCATTACCCCACCGTAATATATATGTCAATACTCAGAGGCGACAGACTGTTTCATGCTAGACGCAATCGTTAGACCTTTTATATTTATATACGCTTTATCTCTGTTATTGAGCACTTTATCCCATAAATATAGCACATCTAAAAAACCATATATATATATATATATATATATATATATATATATATATATATATATATATATATATATATATATATATATATATATATATATAAATAATTAAGAAAGAGACAGCCTTAAGGCTCCATGACTATAATTTATTTCTCCAGAAAATATATTTTCCTGGTTCATCAGGTCACATCTTTAGTTACAAAGGAATTTGCATTATTTTATTTTTAATAAAAGTTTTTGAATGATAGTTTTAGATTGATATACTTTGACAGAGGTGGTAGGAGGGGGAACATAAAATGGTCTATTTTGGAAACGGAAGTAGGAAAATTTTTAATAATTTACTTCTGATCAATTGTACTCAGTTAAGAGACTAGAAAATTTGACCTCTTAAATAATTTTTAGACAGGAAGAGAAAAGAAGAAAAAAAAAAGATATATTGTAAAGCAGGCGAGGAAGGAAAAGAGGAAGAAGAAAGAAAAAGTTAAACAGGGGAGGAGGAGGGAGGAAGAAAGAAAAGTCAGTTTGCATATGTAGGCATATAACGTTGACAGTTGAAAAACACATCAATATAATTTATAGTGTAATACTTTATAATAATTTAATATTTTAATACTTTATGTATTAACATAAAGTATTAAAGATTACCAGCAAAGTAGGAATGAAGATATATCAATAATATTATTAATAATATTATTAATCCTGATAATACAATTTTAATTAATATAGGACAATATATTAAATATTATTAAATTTTTTAAAAAAATGATATAAAAATTAATGATATTGTTAATTACAACTTAAATAAAGGTTAAAAATAAGTTTAAATTTGAACTTTAAAATTAAAAAATGAAAATTAAAATTAAAGTTCATAAATGGTAAATAAAAATATATTTAATATTAATTAAATATTCAATATTTAATATTAATTTATTATTAATAATCAGATTACATACAACTACGAATAATAATGTTATAAATCATAATAAAACGAATGATAATAATTAGATAAAAAAATAAAGAGTAAAATCTAAAAACAAAATAAATATAATAATGTTGCTTTGTAAATTGTTTTAGTAACCTTATTTTGATGGAAAATTCAGCAAAGTAAATGAAAAACCTAAATATATACATACATATCCATACATAAACCTATTCTTATACATATATTTACATACATATAATGATATGAAGCAAAACATAATTATATAAAGCCCAATACTTAAAATAATCACATATACATCTTGAATATGTACGTATATATGCAGATATACCCAAATATATACACAAATTCACATATCTACACCTATGTAAATATGTATATATCTATATATATATACATATATGCAACTATATACACACATACATAAAACACAGACAACACACAAAAAGGTTAATAATATTATCACACATGTACACATATATACATATACATACATATAAACATATACACACATATACACATACACATGTACATAACAACACACAACACACGCAAATATATATATACATATACATATATATATATACATACATGCATATATATATATACATATATAAACATATACACATGCATATACACACATAACCATATACACACCTATATATATATAAACATACACACACATATATATATATATACACACACACATATACCTATACATATACATGTACATACGCATATATATACATACCCATATACACACATACACACACATATATATACATATAAAAGAATACATCCATACACACATGCACGCACTCACACACACACACACGCACACATACACACACACACGCACATATATATATATATATATATATATATATATATATATATATATATATATATACGTTCGTCGTTCGTTCGTTTGTTCGTTCGACATCCGTCCATCTCGGGAGACGATGGAGTAGCGCTTATCTATTTTTTATTCCAAAATTCTAGGCGATGGAGTTACATCGCCTCTGGTGACTGTGTAGTCCCATTCTGGAGCGGCAGTCTCTCAGGCACTTGGCGCAGATGAAACTAGATGACACGGAGACGGGAGCTGTCCTTGCTTTTCTCCTGGCTCTCTTTGTTTCCTGCTGATCTTCCCTCTGCAATCGTGACGCCTTCACTGACTGTGGCTCTCCAAAGCTAACGATCGTCAGTCGCGGCCTCTCAGGTGTTGGAGTCGATGTCGGCCAGCTTTATGTCACGTTTGCAAACATCCTTGAAGCGGAGCTGAGGTCTTCCAGTTGGGCGGGACCCCCTACACAGCTCTCCGTACAGGATGACTCTTGGGATGCGACCGGCACCCATGCGGCGTACGTGCCCCAGCCATCTGAGACGTCTTTGGCAGAGCAGCGGGAACAGGCTGGGGATGCCGGCACGTTGGAGGACCTCTGTGTTAGTGACCCAGTCTTAATGTGCAGGAGACGTCTGAGGCAGCGGAGGTGAAAGGTGTTTAACCTCTTCTCCTGACTGGCGTAAGTTGTCCAGGACTCGCTGCCGTACAGAAGGGTGCTGAGGACGCAGGCCCAGTAGACTTGTAGTTTGGTGTTCTCCGTCAGCTGGCTGTTGTTCCAGACGCGCTTGTTTAGCTTGGCCATGACTGCGGCGGCTTTCCCTATCCTGGAGCTGATCTCGGTGTCCAGGGAGAGGGAGCTGGAGATGATCGACCCGAGGTAGGTGAAGGAGTCCACCACCTCGAGGTGCGTGCCGTTGATGGCAACGTCCGGGGAGGAGGCGGTGTCTTGTGCCAGGATGTTGGTCTTTTTGAGGCTGATGGTCAAGCCGAACTCCTTGCAGGCATGGGCCAGGCGGCTGACTAATTCTTGCAGACCATCCTCCGTGTGGGACGTCAGCGCAGCGTCGTCGGCAAACAGCAATTCACGAATGAGGACCTCACGGACCTTGGTCTTAGCGCGCAGTCGGGCGATGTTGTAGAGTTTGCCGTCTGCTCTAGTGCGGATGTAGATGCCCTCTGTGCAGTCGCAGAAGGTGTACCAGAGAAGCATGCAGAAGAATATCCCAAAGAGTGTCGGCGCGAAGACACAGCCGTGCTTTACGCCGATGCTCACAGGGAAGGCGTCGGATGTTCCGCCATTGTAGCAGACTGTGCTGTGCATGTCCTCGTGGAAGGACTTGACCATCTGGAGCAGTCTTGGGGGACATCCTACCCTCCTCTCCAGGAGGCCGAAGAGTCCGCTTCTGCTGACCGAAGGCTTTCGTCAGGTCAATAAAGGCGATATACAGCGATTTCTGCTGCTCAGCACTTCTCCGCAGCTGGCGCAGAGAAGATCATGTCCACTGTAGATCGGCCGATGAAGCCACACTGCGACTCGGGGTACACACGGGAGGCGAGGCTCTGCTGTGGCAAACGACGCGGGCAAAGACTTTCTCCGACGATGCTGAGGAGGGAAATGCTGTGTTAGTTATTGCAGTCGCTGCGGTCACCTTTATTCTTATAGAGGGTGACAATGTTGGCATCTTGCATGTCCCGGGGGACGTGGCCCTTCTCCCAGCACAGGCACAGGAGCTCGTGGAGATGCTGCAGCAGAGCTGGCTTGCCACTCTTCAGAACCTCGGATGGGATCCCGTCCCTCCCAGGAGCCCTCCCGCAGGAGAGACAGTCGATGGCTTTTCCGAGTTCCTCCGCAGAGGGCGGGGCATCCAACTCCTCCATGACTGGGAGACTGGGCAAGGCATCCAGGGCGGCATCCGTCACCACGTTCTGGGTTGCATAAAGCTCCAGGTAGTGCTCCACCCAGCGCTCCAGCTGCTTGCCCTGGTCTGTAATGACTTCTCCCAGTGGAGCCGTCTTGATGGGAGTGGGGCCGGTGGCGGTTTTGATGCAGGCGTACATGCCTCTTGCGTTTCCACTGTCGGCAGCCGTCTGGATCCTGCTGCACAGGTTCAGCCAGTAGTCGTTGGCGCAGCGGCGTGCAGTCTGTTGGGCCTTGCTGTGAGCAGCTCTGAGGGCATCGCGGGTACTGACGCAAGGGTTTTGCTTGTAGGCCAGAAGTGCTTGTCTCTTGGCTTCAGAGGCCGGCTGCATCTCATCCCAGTGAGCTTCGTACCAGTCTGCATTTCGACGATCCTTCTTCCCGAACGCAGTAAGGGCTGAGGTGTATATGGCATCACGGAGGTGGTGCCATCTACTGTCGATGTCAGTGGCACTGAAGGAGGATGTGTCGACATTCGCGCTAAATGTGGTTTGGAAGCGGCGAGAGCTCTCAGGGTCATTGGAGCGACAGGTGTTTTGGTTTTGGAGCGGTGTATTTTCTTGGTTGTCAGTCTCACTTTGCAGCCTACTAGGGAGTGGTCCGTGTCGCAGTCTGCGCTGTGGAAGCTCCGAGTGTGAAGAACGCTCCTTAGGTCTGCACGCCTGGTGATGACAAGGTCGAGCTGGTGCCAGTGTCGAGAACGGGGGTGTCTCCAAGAGACTTTGTGGCGTTCTTTGCACTTGAAGTAGGTGTTCATCACGCACAGTCCGTGGTGGCAGCACAGTTCCAGCAGCCGCTGTCCATTCTCATTCATCTTGCCTATGCCCTGACGGCCGAGGCAAGATGGCCAAGTGACACAGTCGGTTCCCACTCTGGCATTGAAGTCTCCCAATAAGTATAATCCTTCATTGGGCTTCCTGGATATCATCTCATCCAGTGCCTCATAAAACTGGTCCCTGACCTCTGGGGTGGCACAGAGCGTTGGCGCGTAGATGCAGAGGACGTTGGCGAAACCCGTAGATGTTAAGAGGCGCAGTGCTAGGATTCTCTCAGATCTGCCAGTTGGGGGTAGAATAGCTGGTATCAGCGAGTTCTTCACGGCGAAGCCTACGCCGTGTTGTCTTGGGTCATTCTGAGGCAGGCCCTGCCAAAAGAAGGTATAGTTGGCCTCTCTGATAGAACCGCTGTCAGCCAGACGAGTCTCTTGCAGGCAGGCGATGTCAATGCCCAGCCTTGAGAGTTCCCTGTCTATGACCGCGGTCTTTCGAGCATCGTCAATCTGTTGGATGTCATCTGCGAGTCCAGGGCGCATAGTCCGGACGTTCCAGCTAGCAAACCGAAGAGCTGGAGTCTTCGTGTTTCTTTCTTTCCTGCCTGGTGCGGGATTTACAGCTTGCTTGTCAGGAGGATCAGTCCCTGAGTCCTACACAACCAGTAGAGCAGGCAAGCTGTGGCGGGACAGCATCTTACTGGCTGGGGGCTGCTCAGCTTGAGGCGGGCGGTAGCTGTCCAGTGAGAAGCGATGATCTCTCTCACCGACGGAGGTGACCCCAGGCGCCCGTAACCTATACCAAACGGGTTGAGCTTTTAATCGGTAACTCTCACTTCCTGTGTTGTGCCGATGTCTTGCGACAACGCTGGAGTGTCCTCTCCAGTGCGCAACGTGCCTGGGCGGGATATATGGAGAACTAGGGGTGCCCGGGCGTCTAGTTCCCCCTCATGGCCTTGCTAGCAGAGTCCAAAGGAGAGGATAAACCAATACGGTTTGGTACCAGTGCGGCTGCAGGAGTTGCCGGAAGGTAGCACAGTGTGCCGTCCATCCGCCTTAGGGGCTCCACTCCGGATTTGTGTAGGGTTTACTCCTTGGCTTTTCCTTCAACCGAAGATTTCCACAAGGCAGTGGAGCTATTTAATCTATAGCTGGGGTTTGTATCTTGGGCATCAGGATATGTTCACACACCGGTGGGCCTGCATGCCGTATGTTAAGAGGCCAACTCCTCCACTGTCCCCTGCAGTTTAGCCCGAGTCTGCAAGGTCCTCGGTTGCCATGTGTCACTACGATGAGGCACTACATAGGGGTTGCTGATGTAGAGGCTATATACTGGCAAGGGAAGACTTACGCACTCGGCGGTAACTGACTACTACACTAGACGCATCACAACAGTATATATACACACATATAATAATATATATATATATATATATATATATATATATATATATATATATACACACACACATAAAAAATATATACATATAAAACAATTACACATAAATTGTTTAACCTAAGTCCTTGATTTGACAAATAAATATTAGGTATTACTTGATGATTTAAAATACCGTAGTTTTCCCCAACAAAAAATTTATATATATATATATATATATATATATATATATATATATATATATAATGGATTTTTATTATTTGAGTAGACGCTCCATTTATTTTTAATCGTATTTTAATTGTCTGATTTAACAAGTTTCTTGCATTAAGCTTTTTCGCTTTTCTATACTGGATTTATGTCTGGCCACATTCGCTTCTGATTCTATGCTTTTCAGATATTGCTTCCTTTGTTTGTTGTGAAATCCACTGTGGTATGGAAGGGCTTTCCTTAGGTAAAAACTGTTTACATACCTCTTGTACTCATCTCTCTCTCTCTCTCTCTATATATATATATATATATATATATATATATATATATAATGATAGGAAAGATATTCTTTTTATGTATTTGTTTAGTTGAACAACTTGAAAATGTTTATGTTTTTATTTAGTTGAACACCTCACCACCCCTCAATTAACCAAGCGTAGTGTTTATTGTTATTTACTCCTGAAGATACTGTCAAGCAAAGAAGAAGGTTTCTACAAGGAGTGACCCGAGATTTCCACCCTGATACTTTTACCTTTAATCCATATGTGGGAGCAAAAATAAAATGGTTTGAAATGATATATTTTATTAGGAATGTTCCATCATTCCTCTTGACATTAAACTCAAAGCTCTTGCAAATTCTTTGCCTTTTCCTTAGACACCAAAAATTTCAACTTTCTTCACATAGTTTCAGTTTTATTGAGGTCAGGGCTGCAAAAAATTGCTATATAAGTGAGAATGTTTTTTTTTCCACGCGATGTATGACAAAGACATCGATCAAGTTAACCTTCTACTATATTTTGCAATGAGCAGAAAAAAATAATATCGTTTTTACTGTTCGGTGTTCCATCGGAGTTTATCAGTCTTGTATTATTTCTTTTGATTTGGGGACCAAACTTTAGAAGAGAATTTTGTTGTCCTTATATGAATTAGTGGTCTGACATACATTCATACATTAGAATTCACTATATATCACTATTTCATTAATCTCATTGTAGATGTTCTTTAGCCCTATTCTTTTCTTTGTTTTTTTAGTGTTAAATGATATTTTTGCTATAATGCATCACTTTACATTAGTTTTATGTAGTATTTTTCTCACTGTATGAACTGACAGCAGCAATTATGCTTTCATATATTACTTGACAAGCTGTTAATTATTGATTAGAAACTGATAACTTCTTTTCGTATCTTTTGCCTAAACTCTGAGGTCTATCAGTCTATCTTCCCGCCCAAATCATTCTAGGCGACTTGAACAGAATGTCTTGATATTCCAACGTCTTTAATGATATTACGTTGACTCATTCTTTGTGATATTTTGATAATTTTTATTCTCTTCTCTAAACTAACACTTCCCAGATTGAAATTTAAATTAAAGAAAAATATTCCAGGCTTTATACAATCTGTGTTCGATCATTTCACATGAGAAATCTGCAAGCGTCTTTGAATCTAAGATGAAGTTTATCATGAACGGTATCAAGTCGCTCATGACTTCTGCATGCTTTATTTTCAGCATCACGAGATGTTCAGACCTGTATCACTCGTTGTGCTATATTCATATCAATACGACAAAATTATATGAGATTCCTAAATGCCTACACTACCTATTCCGGTAAGTACTTTGTCGAATACGTACGTCTACTTAATAAACATTAAGCAAATTTCTTTTTATCTCAGTCGCTCATTCTTTTCTGCTCTTCATTATATATATATATATATATATATATATATATATATATATATATATATATATATATATATATATATATATATGCAGAAATACTGATAACAATATTATAGACTTCGTAGATATAAAACTAGACTGACAGCAGAAGAAATGCTTTCTGAAAATTCCCATCAAAATTTAATTTCCCTGCGTATCTTCTTATTAAATAAAACCTATTGTTTATTGGATGAACCATGCCAGCTGTTTATCACACGTTGTAATATTAAATGGAGTTCCCTAACAAGGAACATGGTTTGTTTTGTCACATTTGGAACGAAAGAATGAACAAGTATACAAGATTCTTCGAAAACAGGTTCGAGCAAAGAAAATAATGGCTTTAAGGAATTTGCAGTTTCTTCTTATCTATTTGTATTGCGGATTTCTGCCTAATAATTGGAGACTAGCGACGGAATGAGGAAACCTGAAAAAAGAAATAGATTTTGATTTGGAGGTGAAACCGAGAAAATAAGCATGACGTCAAATTAAACAAAACAGAAAACATTTTCTATACAAAGAATCGGAATATGACTGAGTAATGAATTCGATCCTCACTGGATACTTTTGGCTTGTACCACATCTACGCTACGCTTAAAAAAACCCATCATACTTCGAGACAGTGCTGTAATCGCTATAGGAGTTGGTTAGATAATTGTTACAGTCATCTAGTGGTCATGAGATCCTGAATCAGGTGGGGAAACATTGATTCGGCAGGAATGAACAATATCTGGTTTAACAGTGAGAAATTAGCACAATAATCAACAGAATGGATACCTGATGATGGTCAAAGGGTAACTGACCGAAACAACGCCTATAATAACATCTATTACAGCTAAGATTACAGGATTTTCCCCCGCCCACCAACTTGACATCATTTAAAATGTGAATATCTGAGTAACTACATATTCCAGGCAAACGAAATTAAATAGGCTTCATGTTGAACAATAAAAGATTTGTTTATCAAAATTTGAACAAAGTATTCAAAAGGGATGTAGATTTGATAACCAATTTCACACAGCTTCACAAAGCTTCAATATGCGTACCACCTGTGGCATTGGCACACATCAAGTTGGTAGTCCAGCTCCTGCTAAACACGCTGTAGAATACCTTGCGTAACATGCTTAAATTCCTCTAGGATTGTAGGAAGAGGATGATATAGACCTCTCTTCACCTTTTACATAGACCCATAGAAAAAAAAATCACAAGTCAGGTGAACGTGGTGGACATTTCAACAGCACATTGACATTACTACTAGCACACCTGATCAGTCTTCCTTGTAGAGATAAGTTAATTTAATTAGTTTTTACACATTTTGATAGAATTTGACCTCATTCGAACGAGAATTGGCTAAGTTATTAGTCTACAAAGTGATGTCAATTTTTGGGGGGTGGGTGGGGATACCAAGTACGTTGATTTGTTTGTTTGTTTAGCAGCATATCAAGTCCTCATGGGTCATTTAATGCTGAAATTAAATTTTCTTGGAAGCATGAGTAAATTATTTAAAAACTTTGTATTGCTGGTAATAGTTTTATTTAAAAAATATATTTTTGTTAAGATTTGTTTTTCAAAAATATATTTTTGGTAATATTTGTTTTTCAAAAATATATTTTTGGTAATATTTTTATTTCAAAAATATATTTTTGGTAATATTTATTTTACAAAAATATATTTTGGTAATATTTGTTTTTCAAAAAATATTTTTTCGTAATATTTGTTTTTCAAAAATGTATTTCTGATATTTTTTACTGAAAATATATTGCTGAGTTTTAATATAAAAATGTATTTTTATATTTTCATAATGTTTTGACGCCAGGTTTGGAGTGAACTATTTGCCCAATGTTCGGACCCTAACAAGTGCTGGGAACAAAAATTAAAGTTCCCTGCTTCTCAAAACCTCCCGATCATTGGCCTTCCTTCCGGAGGATGTTTATCGTCATACACAGAATGTCTATATTTTGAATTTTTAGCATTTAGACATATTCCAAGCAGACCAGACTTAAACTGAACAAAGAAAATATATCAGATATAAGATTTAAATAAAGATCATGAAGTTAAATTGAAAGAAAGTGACAAGCAGAAGAATAACAAAAATCACGGAATATAAAAATGAAGACTGCATCGATTATCATTGTAATTCATGAAGAGATTTTCAAGGAGAATAAGTGAAACTCTCGATGAAAATCATACGGATGATAGCATTACCAAAGAAAAACTGAATCGTAGGGGTGTCTGCAGACAGATTTATCATTTACTTCTGGTGTGAAAACTCAATGCATACAAATAATGATAATAGAGATTGGGAATCTTTTATCCGAAATTCTTGGGACCGGAAGTGCTCGAGTTTCCGATTTTTATTATGGATTACAGGCTATTTGATTTATATATAGCTTCGTGTTTATAACTGGGTTCCAGTTATAAACACGATATCCCTTTACATTTCATAACACAGCTTATATATATATATATATATATATATATATATATATATATATATATATATATATAGCCTGAAAGTAGTTTTATATCAAATTTAATAAATTTTGTGTACATACAGATACATGAAATGACGTTAATTATGTAATGCTCACACAGATGTTTAAGTGGTGAAATCAAGATTTTATGTAAAAATAATGTTTTGTACTTTCTGTACGTGTACAAAAAATATGATCACTACTTACAAAAGATAAATTCAGGATTTTTTGACATTTTAAATAATATCTTTACTGAGCACGAAACACCTGATAAGTAATCCACAAACGAAGGTGTTGCTCTGATGATTGCTTACAAAAAAAAAACAAAAAAAACTGGCACCAACATAAGCTACGTATCTGGGCTGGGGAACCCCTACCCAGGTAAGATAAGGTCACTTACAGCAGCTGCACATCACATAGGAAAACATCCCTGTACTTTCTGAAATTTTCCATTTGTGGCAAATCATGTCAGCACTTTCGGATTTTGGGGTTTTTCGAATTTTGTAATTTCGGATTAAAGGATACCCAGTCTGTAATAATAATTGAGAGTAACTGGATAAAAGACAATTGCAAGAAGTAGATTTAAGTCTACCAAAAAAATAATGCAAAGTAAAAACAGTGGAAATACAAACATTCTTCAAGAATATTCTGAATTATCTACATCTATTTCCTGATTCTTGAAGAACATTTTGGATTCTTAGCCAACTCCCAATTTCCATCGTAATTACAGAATGTGGCCACTTCATATTTTTTAACATTGCCAACACCATTTGAAATCAGAAACGTTTATTTTGTTTTTGAGAATTACTTCAATAAATTTATTTTCTGTTTTTAGAAATAAAAGGAAGAGAAGAATTATATATATATATATATATATATATATATATATATATATATATATATATATATAATGAACAATCAAAAATGTTCTGTACATCCGAGTGCTTTCGGCTAGCCATTATCAAGGATGAATTTATTTTTACTTTTAACTGTTAAAAGTATTTTTACTTTTAATTGTATTACCTGTATATAAGTATTTTTATTTTCACAGTTAAAAATAAATTCATCCTAGTTAATGGCTAAAGCGTATAGCCTAAAGTGTTTCGATATACAGAACATTTGGACAATTTCTACATAATTTATGTCCAGAAAAGAAGAAAATTATTAGAACATTTAATCGCAATACCTTGTCAGTTGTTTTTAACGAAACTTGTATACAATAGGAACTGCTGCCCAAATACACAATATATATATATATATATATATATATATATATATATA